CAAAACAATTCATGAAAGTTGATGGTAATCCATCACCTCAGCTGGTCACCTGGCAAAATTCCTCTTTTGTCTCCATACATCCCAGGTGTGCTGAAAGAGATTTTCTTTGGGCTGATTCATTTTTCTGTTGCTTATTTAATTTTTTGCCTGGTAATGAATGAGATGAGCACCCTGAAGATCTTACGTGTTCCTTCCTTGGGAAGAGAGACTGTGTATGTGGGGGAAGATTTTATTTTTATTTATTTTTATTTTTTATTTTTATTTTTTTGGGGGAAGATTTTAAATCAGATTGGTATAACTACCTTTAACGTTGAAGCACGGGCTCTGTTTCAAGGTCCATCCCACTTTGAAATAATTTTCATCCCAGTGAAGGCTCTGACTTTTCATTCGGGCTCAGCTAAATGTTGAAACCGATCATCTTTTGAGGGTAAGCCTTGTTTTTTTTTTTTAATTTTTATTTATTTATTTATTTATTTATTTATGATAGTCACAGAGAGAGAGAGAGAGAGAGAGAGAGAGAGAGAGAGAGGCAGAGACACAGGCAGAGGGAGAAGCAGGCTCCATGCACCGGGAGCCCGACGTGGGATTCGATCCCGGGTCTCCAGGATCGCGCCCTGGGCCAAAGGCAGGCGCTAAACCGCTGCGCCACCCAGGGATCCCCCTAGGGTAAGCCTTGTTAAGAGAAACAAAACAAGCACATCTTTCATATAAATCTCTGTAGGTCTAAGAAAACTCTGTGTAGTTAGTCTCTCAGATCGATTAGTCTTGGGGGGGGCAATACAACTAACGGAAGAAAGAGGTATGAAGGGTGGATCTATCTACTTGAAAATCTGAACATTTAAATATCAAGATAATTTATCACGATTACTGGTGGAAGGCATGGGCTAAATGTCAAGGCTTACTGAAGTTCCAAGAGCAGCAATGAGAAGCCTACACCAGATCTCCAGGCCACAGTCTGAAAGGGTCGAGATCTTGTTAGGTAGTCTGGGATAACCAGGGCCGACAAGATGTTAACCCCAGAAATATGGGACCCGCTAACCTCACCCGCAGCTACTGATTCCTTAGGTCAGTAGTCTTGAGTTGCTTGGAGAAATGCATCTATAGATGGAGAAAAGTTTGTGTCAGTACCATGGGCCTCAGTCCAAGGTAAATTCTAGGGCACCTCGGTGGCTTAGTCCGGTAAGCATCTGCCTTCCTTTAGGCTCATGATCCTGGGTTCCTGGAATGGAGCCCTTCATCGGACTCTGCTCAGCAGGGAGCCTGCTTCTTCCTCTCCTTCTGCTGCTTCCCCTGCTTATGCTCTCTGTCAAATGAGTAACTAAAATCTTTAAAAAATATAAAAACAATTCTAGACAAATTCTCTGTAGTTCATTTTGCTGATTATTATTTGCTACCTAGAGTTTATTTACTACTAGACTAGGATTTATCTGAGAAAGCATACTATGCTCAGAGCCTGGTATAGAGTTATTTTCAGGGAGGTTTCCTTAAATCAATGACACCATGGAAGAATAGATGCCTGAATCCATGGAAAAAAAATAGATGGTTTAAATTAAGTTTAATCCAGGGGCACTGGGTGGCTCAGTCAGTTAAGCGTCTGCCTTCAGCTCAGGTCATAGAGGATCCCCTGTGTTGGGCTCTCTGTTCAGTGGAGAGCCTGCTTCTCCCTCTCCATCTTCCTCTGCTGCTCCCCCTGCTTGTGCTCTCTCTCTGTGTCAAATAAATAAAATCTTAAAAAAAAAAAAAGAATCCTAGGAATTTCAGATGTTAAAATAGCCTGAAGCTGTATGTCTTCTGAAATTATCAGAAATACAAAATAGGGACACCTGGGTGGCTCAGTGGTTGAGCATCTGCTTTTGGCTCAGGTCATGATCCTGGAATTCTGGGATCAAGTCTCACATTGGGCTTCCTGCATGGAGCCTGCTTCGCCCTCTGCCTATGTCTCTGCCTTTCTCTGTGTGTCTCTCATGAATAAATAAATAAAATATTTTTTTTGAAAAGAGAAATACAAAATAATTTGGTAAATAAATAAGTCGATCTTCAATGACATAAACATTGAGTTTTTTTAAAGATGCATAAACAAGAAACAACTTGGAAACACACATAATATACAACTTCTAGAAATAAAGATAATTTTTTAAAAAGATTTTATTTATTTATTTAGAGCACAAGGGGGAAGAGCAGAGGGGGAGAGAGAGAGAATCTCAAACAGGCTCCATGCCCAGTGCAGAGCCCATGTGGGGCTCAATCTCATGACCCTAAGATCATGACCTGAGTAGAAATCAAGAGTTAGATGCTTAACTGACTGAGCCACCCAGGCACCCCTCAAATTTTATTATTGGCGAAGTGTGCTATTTGTTATTTTCCTTGAAACAACAGGCTTTGTTGATCTTCAAGAAAATATTCACCAAATACTCAGGTCTGAACAACCACAGTTGGTCTATCTGTTATATAATAAATAAAATCTTTAAAAAAATTTTAAAAAAGGATTTACAAATATTATTTATTTATTTATTTATTTATTTATTTATTTATTTATTTATTTATTTATTTATGAGAGACACACACACAGAGAGAGGCAGAGATATAGGCAGAGGGAGAGCAGGTTCCCCACAAGGAGCCCGATGTGGGACTCGATCCCGGATCCTGGGATCATGCCCTGAGCCAAAGGCAGACACTCAAACCGCTGAGCCACTCAGGTGTCCCAAGGATTTTTTTTAAATAGCAAAGTTAATTTTCTTTGAGTGGATGGCATATTTTGCTCTGCAGCAGGTAGACTTTATGCATACCTCCTCGAAAGTTTTCGGTGTATATGTATGTATTGTACATGGGTTGCATTCAGGGGGTGATATTTAATAAGACTGATAATGTGTATTTTGCTTCATCCAGGACTTCAGTGAAACTGACTTGTTTTGTTTTGTAAGTGCATGGTGGTGAAGAATACAAGGAATGGCCTTGTTTATTTGCACCACTGCCTTGATTTGTGCTACAGTACCAGCAGTGCAAATGCCCATAGTAGTTGCTCAGGATAAACCAGAAGATTCAAAATAGTTACTTTAGCAATGCCTGTTACCAAGCATGTCTATAAGAGCAGATAAGATGTCCTTTGATAATTAGCCTTGGCTATATATTTTCCTTAAGGCAAAAGTTCTCCAGATACTGACTTGGTCTTCACGTTTGAAGCAAAATCTCTATTTTAGCAAGTTATCATAGTGTTGGAAAATGGCAGCGTGTGATAAAGAATTTGACCCTTTTTTTTAAGACTTTATTTTAAAGTAATCTCTACACCCAATGTGGGATTGGATTTACAATCCCAAGATCAGCAGGCGCGTATCCCACTGGCTGAGCCAGCCAAGCGCCACTTGATCCCCCTTCCATTTTTTTGATGTCTGACTGCGGACACCTTCCTCTTCTGCTGCTCAACTGGGCAAGCTTGTTTGCCTGTGAGAGTTCAAGGCACAAGAGCCCCTTCCTGTGAGTGGGAATCCTCACCCCAGCCACTCACTAACGACATGAAACCTTCAAGTCAGTCTTCCTTCTTTGCTCTCTCATGCTATTTTTAGACCTGCTTGGGAATCACTCTGCTGTCTCCAAGATTCTTGATATGTGAGTGATAAACAAAGCTTTCATAGTCTCTTTGGGGTATATGTGAGTGGGGGGAGTGTGGTGGGGATCATCACTCTTAATATTTGGACAAAATTTCAAGTGGGGATCCATCTCGTTTCTGTGTGATTTCCACAACATGATGGCTTTATTTTTCTGAGCTGAGTTTATACCCTGCAGAAATGCAGCAGTGTCAGCTCTTCTAGGCTTTAGTAATTTTCCAGCTATTCTTTGGTGAGCTTTGCCACAATATGCAATATGATTACTTCTCTTGTGAGATGCTTCTGTGGCCTTTTAGTCTTGTTTGAAAAATTCTAAGGAAGGATTTTTGGCCTTAAAGAACTCATCAGGGATGTCTGGGTGGCCCAGTGGTTGAGTGTCTGTCTTCAGCTTGGGGTGTGATCCTGGGTTCCAGGATCAAGTTCCACATGGGGCTCCCAGGAGGGAGCCTACTTCTCCCTCTGCCTGTGTTTCTGCCTGCCCCCGCCCTGTGTCTTTCATGAATAAGTGAATAAAATCTTTTAAAAAACCTTCATCATGTCTACACTAATATATAGTCAATTTTTCTTTAAACTCTAAATTATTGTTCTCAAAATGATTCCAGAACACAACTGGTACCATACCTAAAATGTACTCTTTAACAAGACAAGAGAAAGTAATCTCCTCTGTATTTCCATTTTTTTTGGGGTGTTTCAGTGGCAACTTATTCCACATACATAGATGCCTCCTCTCCTTTTATTTAACAGTTGGTAGAAGGGGACAGTTCAGTAAAGAGTAACAGATGCTTTTCCAATAATGTCCTGCTTTGGGTTTCATAAGAATTGGGTAGGAAATTTCACTACATTTTAGAAAAGTTCCTCACCTCTCTTAGACTATTTAATAAATTTTCCCCTCCCCCGCTTTTCCCTCCCTAATACATTTTTAATATAGCTAAATATATGGAAATTTGCCATTTTAACCATTTAATGTACAGTTCAGAGGCATTAAGCATGTTCACAGTGTTGTGCAACTATCACTATCATCTGTCTCTGGAAGTTTTTCAGCTTCCCCAACTAAAATTCTGTACCCATTAAACACTAATTACCCATGCCCCACTCCCAGCCAGTGCTTGGCAACTACCATTCTACTCTTAGACTACTTTCTTTTTTCTTTTTTTTTTGGGTTAGACTACTTTCTGACTTACTTTCTTTTTCATGTAATGAAAGACAGGGTCCATTGTTAACTATGCGACTGCCTCTACATATGCAGGCTTTCTTACATATATGTGACTGAATTTAGTACAAGAAAAATAAGAGAAAATGGGATCAGAGAAAGAAAGGAGATTAGCTGGATAGGCATTTTCATACTGGGCCTACTATCCACAGGCCTCAGTAGCCCTGCCATGGATCCGGCCGGTTCTTTCACAAGAAGTTGATCTTGTGAGCCATTTCCATGTTGTACATACGCTGGCAGGTTTCATAGCTTTCTTTTTGTCTTCTGCGACAAGGCTTTTCATAGTACGATCGTCGCTTAATGTCCTGGATGAGCCCATCCATGGTGAGGATTCTGTTTAGGGTCCTGTATGCACCTTCCACGTTCCCTTCCTGTACCATCACAGTCCTGGCAATGAACTTCGGATATTTTGCCATGACCTTGGAATTAAATCTTCACTTCACAGGGCCCTACACCGTCAGCAACCAGCAGCCGGGAAGGTGGCCTGTATTTCCATTTTAAAAAAAGTTGTGATGTAATTGATAACATCGTGGTTCTGTTTTTTATTCATAGATTTGCTGTTTATCTATGGTAGATTCCTTCCTTCTGTGAGTCAGAGTACTCTGATATGTCAGATTCGTCTCTTGTGTCAATATGATGAGTGCTGAGAGTTTATAATGCAAAGGATTTGGATTAGAGTTTGAGAAATAATTTCCTGGACAATGAGCTATTTTTGAAAGTTGGATTTTCCTTTCTTACTGCAGTAACAATGAATATGGCAATTAGTCATATTTTACAGTGAATCTTTTTCACACTTCATCCCCATTTTTTCCTCACACCCCTGCTCCAGAGGGATTAGCCCATATAGACCTATTTGCAGAGTGAGGATATAGCTCCATTAGGAGTAGAACCCTAGGCATGAGGGGTACCTGAGTGGCTCAGTGGTTGAGCGCCTGCCTTTGGCTAAGGTCGTGATCCCAGGGTCCTGGGATTGAGTTCCACATCAGGCTCCCTGCAGGAAGCCTGCTTCTCCCTCTGCCTATGTCTCTGCCTCTCTCTCTGTGTCTCTCGTGAATAAATAAAATCTTAAAAAAAGAATAGAACCCTAGGCATGAGTCCCAAGTCCGTATGTAACTCACTGACTTCCAAGTCACTGGTTTTGCCTCTAGGAACTAAAGTTATTTTACAAGAATTCAGCTTCTTTATGAGTTCTATACTGGCTAGATTATGAAATCTTCCCAACTCCAACTCAGAATATCTGAAGAAATGAATGGGACTAGGGTCTGGGAGATGCTGGGGCATCTAAGTATGAGAAAGCATGAACACAAAAGATGAGGAGAGAGAGAAAGAGACAGAGAGAGTCTGAGAGAGGAGGGTCACAGAGTATGGTGAGAAGAGCCAAAGCAAGTACAAGTAGATCCACAGTCTCCACTCCTCAGGGAAGAGCCTCTGTTATAATGAGTTGTCAACAGAATTAAAACAAAGTGGGAAAGCTATTTCTTGTGTTCTCACTGAAATGGGAAGTATGGTTGTGGTGGAGAAAGATTTTGAGAATGGAAACTACACAGCAGTCAAAAGACAGAACTTTATACAATTCCAGTGCTAAATTCAATAATATATAATTCCATGTTCCCTTCCGCCAGTCATTCCTGCCAGATCAGGGATAGGTCAAGTCTTGAGAATGGCATACCAGTTAGAGACCCAGAAGAAAGTAGGATTCCTTCTCTTAATGAATAGACACACATGTGCTCCAAATTTTCAACTCCAGGACATTGGATCCTTGACCAAGGACAGCTTCACTGGCAGTGAATTTTTAAACTCTGCTGGACCATACCAACTGGAATGGTATATCTCCCTACCTACGGAGCCTGCAGATGATGTCTACGGACTGAATTTTGTCATGAACTACTTTCCATCAGCTGTATTGGTGGAAACGAGTTAAATCGGATTGGAATTTTTGACAGCCACTATGCGCGGATTGCTTATGGTGGCTGATTAACACCCCCTTCCCAAAAATTTCAGTGCCCATGTGCTACCCCTCAGACTCCATCTGGGAACACACAAATGTAGTCTTCCCCAGGATATTAATTCAAAGATTTGGTAACAAGAGTCATGACCGTGTCTTCTCTTCTCTGGGTCAAAGAGCCCCAGACTAGTTCATGTATCTCTTGCATTTGTACTGTGGATGGATGTTGAAACTACAGTAAAATGTTGCACAAGGTAGCCTAGCTCTGCATTGTTGTCTGAGGATGTGGATTTGTTCAGCAATGTTTGCACTGTTAGCGACTTTTCTACCATCCTGGCACCAGCATGCACATAATTCTAATTATGTCGGAAATAGACGAGACAACAAGAAATGTGGGGAAACACTCAGAGAGGGGAGGAAGAAATACTAGAAGGAGAGATGGTTTCACAAGAAAACACAGACATGTACAGCTCAGTGGGCTTATGATTTGGTGCAGCTTGGTTGGAAAAGAAATTCACAAATGGACGTAGGGAGAGATTTCTTCACCAGCGCAAGAAAACATTGTGCTTTTCGATTATTAGCTAATATTATCTTTGAAGAACAGCATGACAGTAAAATCTGAATAGGTGGATTCAGCAATGTATTTCAGGAAAAAAAAATACCAGAACAGATAATCAGTGCCTGGAAGGTCAATTTGAAGAAAAGATCCAAAAAGCAGTGGAGGAAGTGACAGAAATGGAGATGAAGGTTTGAGTGTACAGATTATATGACAAATACAGAGAACAGACTCAAGGCTGCCAGTGAGAAGGGGATGGGGCATGGGCAGAATAGAGGAAGGGGAATAAGAGGTCCAGATCTTCAGTTATAAAAAAAGTTAAGGAGATGAAAAGTATAGCATAGGGATTACAGTTAGTAATATTGTAATAATGTTCTATAGTGACAGCTGGGGATGACACTCATCGTGGTGAGCACTGAGTATGGCATAGAGTTGTCAAATCATTGTGTTGTACACATACAGGGGTGTCTGATTGGCTTAGGTGGTAGAGTATATGACTTTCGATTCTTGACCTCAGGGTTATGAGTCCAAGCTCCATAGTTGGGTGTGGAGCCTACTTATAAAAATAAATACAGTTATAGTGCAAAGAATGCACATATATCTAATGAAAATTCTTAGAGATTATAGAGAGGGTGGAAGAGGTTGTCCACACCTAACCACTGTGCAGAGAACTTACATAAACACTGAGGTTCCAATAGGAAAAGCAACCAATTCTATCTTGCCCGTTGGCTCTAGTCTCTGGGCAAATCGTTTGCCACCCATGTCACTCACTGGTGAACTAACAATGGTACTCTACGTTCTACATGCCTTTCTTTTTAAAATTTAATTTAAATTCACTTAATTAACATTTAGCATATTATGAGTTTCAGGGGTAGAGTTCAGTGATTCATCAGTTTTATATAACACCCAGTGTTCATTACATCACCTGCCCTCCTTAATGTCTATCACCTAGTTACCCAATCCCACCAGCTTCCTCTCCTCCAGCAATCCTTGGTTTGTTTCCTATAGTTAAGAGTCTCTTATGGTTTGTCTCCCTCTCTGATTTCTTATTATTTATTTTTTCCCTCACTTCCTCTATGATCCTCTGTTTTGTTTCTTAAATTCCACATATAAGAAAAATCATATGATAATTGTCTTTCTGACTGAGTTATTTGACTTAGCAGAATACCTCTAGTTCCATCCATGTCATTGCAAATGGTAAGATTTCATTTTTTTTGATGATTAAGTAATATTCCATTGTATATATATAGACCACATCTTTAACCATTCACCTGTTGATGGACATTTGGGCTCCTTCCATAGTTTGGCTATTGTAGACATTGCTGCTGTAAACTTTGGAGTGCAGGTGCCCCTTTGGATCACTACATTTATATCTTTGGGGTAGATACCCAGTAGTGCAATTGCTGGGTCATAGGGAAGCTCTATTTTTAACTTTTTGAGGAAACTCCCTACTGTTTTCCAGAGTGGCTGCTCCAGTTTGCATTTCCACTAACAGGGTTCCCATTTCTCCACATCCTCACTAACATCTGTTGTTTCCTGACTTGTTAAAATTAGCCATTCTGACCGTGTGAGGTGATATCTCATTGTGGTTTTGATTTGTATTTTCCTGATGCCGAGTGATGTTTTGTCATGTGTCTGTTGGCCATTTGTATGTCTTTTGAGAAATGTCTGTTCATGTCCTCTGCCCATTTATTGACTGGATTATTTGTTTGAGTGTTGAGTTTGATATGCTCTTTATAGATTTTGGATACTAGCCTTTTGTCTGGTAAGTCAATTGCGAATACCTTCTTCCATTATGTAGGTTGTTGGCCATTTCCTTTGCTGTACAAAAGCTTTTTATCTTGATGAAGTCCTCATTGTTCATTTTTGCTTTTGTTTTGGAGATGTGTCTAGCAAGAAGTTGCAGCCAAGGTCACAGCGGTGGCTGCCTGTGTTCTCCTTTAGGATTTTGATGGACTCCTGTCTCACATTTGGGTCTTTCATCCACTTTGAGTCTGTTTTGTGTATGGTGTAAAGAAATAGTCCAGTTTCATTCTTCTGCATGTAGCTGTCCAAATTTTACAACACCATTTGTTGAAGAGACTGTCTTTTTTCCATTGGGTGTTCTTTCTTGCCTTGTTAAAGATTAGTTGACCATACAGTTGAGGGTCTATTTCTGGGTTCTCTATTCTGTTCCTTGATCTATGTGTCTGTTTTATGCCAGTACCATACTGTCTTGATGCTTAGAGCTTTGTAAGAGAGCTTAAAGTCCAGAATTGTGATGCCCCCAGCTTGGTTTTCTTTTTTGACATTCCTCTGGGTATTTGGGGTATTTTCTGTCTCCATACAAATTTTAGGATTCTTTGTTCCAGCCATGTGAAAGATGTTGATGGTACTTTGATAGAGATTGCACTGAATGTGTAGATTGCTCTAGGTAGTATAGACGTTTTAACAATATTTGTTCTTCTAATCATGAGCATGGAATGTTTTTCCATTTCTTTGTGTCCTCCTTAATTTCTTTCATAAGTGTTCTATAGCTTTCAGAGTATAGATCCTTTACCTCTTTGGTTAGATTTATTCCTAGATATCTTCTGGTTATTGGTGCAATTGTAGATGGGATCGACCCCTTAATTTGTCTTTCTTCTGTCTCATTGTTAGCGTATAGAAATGTGACTGATTTCTGTGCATTTATTTTATATCCTGCTACTTTGCTGAATTCCTGTATGAGTTCTAGCAATTTTGGGGTGGAGTCTTTTGGATTTTACACATAGAGTATCCTATCATCTGCAAAGAGTGAGAGTTTGACTTATTCTTTGCCAATTTGGGTTCCTTTTATTTCTTTTTGTTGTCTGATTGCTGAGGCTAGGAAGCAGTGGTGCGTGTGGACATCACTGTTGTGTTCCTGACCTTAGGGGAAAAGCTCTCAGTTTTTCTCCATTGATAAT